ATGGGTTGTCAATCATACCTTTGGAAAGACCACTAACACTGATGAAATTACGGATCCACTGGAGTACAGCATAATTACTATTTTTTGTCAGAATTATTCCCAGTTTTATTATCAGAATTTCCCAGTTTTATTGTAAGAATTTCATTCTATCCCTCAAACTACCTCTACTTTTAAACTCTTTCCCACAGAATCATACCCATCTTTTCTCTATTCTCTGAAAGTTTGGAAAAACTTATGCTTACTTTGGTACAATCTATTTTATAGTTAAAATATTCAAACACTGAAAAGAATCTTTTCCTACAAGTCCTTTAGTTAACTATAGTTAACAAATACCCACTAAGTGAAATAGGCATGTCCCTAAATGCTGTAAGAGGATACTACAGATGAAACTGAAAGCACTTTATTCACTGCCCTTGAGAAGTTTATAACACAATAAGAGAAACATGATTAATACATCTAAAAAAGACTTAAAGAAAAATCAAGGGCAAGGCTTAAGAAGCTAACAGTTAAAGTATGTTTACCAAAGATCCTACATGTTTTAGAGGTTTGGTCCAGAAGATCCAGCAACAGAACATCTAGCAAGAATACAAGGAATGATGAGCATGGCAGCATATGTATTATATAAAAATCTCCAATTTTTATAACATCTTTTATATATAGGTCCCATATCCATTTGGAGTTTACTGCTGTATATGATGTAATAAAGTATTTTTAATCAACAGTGTGGGCTACTGACTTCAAGTGCTACGGATTCTGTTGTAATGATTAGCTTTTCTATTTTTTTAACCAATAACAAATCATTTTGTGGAAGCAGACAAACCAGCCCCCATTCCCATTTCTGGAAATATTAAAACATTTAAAAATTATCCTAGTCTGAAGCCTATTGATTAATCTGGATAAGAAACTTTATCAGACATCTTTAACTCTCAATTCCAAAACAACATCCTTCTCTTTTCAGATCAGCTTAGGAAAAGACTCAACACTCAAGTAATTAATAAGAGCAAGAAACCTTTGAATAATCCACCTTGACTAGATTAAGATATTGATCCCACTTAAAGGGAAGAAATTCTTTTGATAACTTCAGTTAATGGAAATTAGGATGGCATGGACCAGTTGGAAATGACAATCCCTGAACTGAGTGGTCAATGAGGGATGGCTTTAGGAAAACAATTCTCCAAAATTGTGGCGAAAAATTAAGTGACTATTGTCCTGATAGATGAAGCAAATTGTTAACTGAACTGTTACCTAATCTTTGGACCTTTGATCAGTCTTGACAATGAAATATTCCTTGTACAAGAATCCTATTAAATTGGGGCATCAAAACGACTTGCGAGAAAGACATCCAATGGTATGAAAGAACTGTGTCAGTTTGGACATTTCTTGCTTTCAACAGAAAAATACTTAGATTTGGAATAATCTAAAAATAATAAAAATTGTCTCTAGTAGGCTTGTGTCTGTAGTGCAGACAGTTCTTTGATAGTTCTGATATTACTGTTTTATAATACAGTTTGAACTTTGTCATTTTGTCTCTGTGTCTTTGGTAGATTGACAGGTGAAGGACTAAAAGTATAAATTAACTGAGGTAGAATTTTCATCTTTATTCTATTGCGTCTGCCCAACCATGAAGAATGTCTATCAATTTTCAAGTGTTCCTTTATTTCCATGTTTTGAAACTGTATATATGTCTCGAGTATCTTGACTGACTGATTCCTTTTTATTTTATGTATTTTGTAATTGTTTTGAATGAGATTTCTCTGTAATTTCTTTCTGATTTGTATTACTGCTCTAAGGAAATACTGATGAAGAGAGGGAGGATTTTGTATCCTCCTACTTTCCTGAAGCTACTAATTATCTCAATCAGTTTTTTTTCTGATTTTCTGGGGTTTTCTAAATAAACTATGTTGCTATCTGTAAACAGGGGTAATTTAATCTCTTTGCTGTTGTTTATGCCTTTAATTTCATCTTCAATTCCTTACTTTCACTTCCAATCAGTTACCAAATCCCATCAAATGCTACCTTTCTAACTTTTACCTGTATATGCCCCCTTTTCTCTTCCAACACTGCCACCACCCCAGTGCAGGTCCTCATCCCCTCATACCTGGACTATTGTAATAGGCTTTAATCTCCAAAGTTACTAATAATTTCTTAATTGCCAAGTTTAATGGCCTTTTTTCAGTCCTCATTCATCTAGACCACTCTGCAGGCTGTGATCACCATATTCTCCTTGATACTCTCTTCTCTCTAGGCTTTTGAGTCACTACTTAAAATCAGTTCTACTGGTTCTCCTACCTTACCTATCTGATAGCTCTTTCATTGTTGGATCTTCATCCAGGTCATGCCCACTAAGCGTGGGTATTCCATAGGATTTTCTACCCTGGGACCTCTTCTCCTTCTACACTATTTCACTTGGGAGGTTGAAAATGAGAGGATGAGAACCTATGGGAATAGAATTGCTTTAAAGAAATTTAAACAAAAATAAACAAAGACTACTATTTTTATACAGAAAGGGAGAAAAAAACCTAATTCAGAAAAAAAGAATATAACAAATGCAGAAAAATATAAACCTAACTCTCATAACTTTGTGAAAGCATTAAACAATCCAATAAATGAAAAAGAGTGACAGAGTAGATTAAAAATTTTTTAAAAACCCCAACAATGTTATTTTCAAAAAACTCACCTAGAATAAAAAAAAGATATATGAAGAAAGCGTATCCCTCTCAAAAGGGAAGGGACAGGAAACATAAGCACCTCTATAAGATCTTTGGTTTCTCACTTAAGAAAATAACCTAAAGCCATTCTCCTGGTACCAACAAGACACTGATATGTATCCTATATTAAGTGACCCTAGCTTTGTGGTTTCACCCCTGAAATCAGCCAAAAAGGTCTCCCACTCTTTTCCCATTAATTTCATAGATAAGTGTCCATTTCAGGCTAGATGGTTCCAAAGCATCTGACTTCATAGATAAGACCCCTGTTAACTATCATTAAGTAAATCAAAGAACATTCCAGTCACATATCCTTAGCCTGTTACTGTGTCCAAAGCTCTCCAAATATATATTTGGAAGTGGAGATTGTAGACAAAACTACTTTGCTCCCCCCATCAATTACCATCCTGACACACCCAAACAGTAGGGAGCATATATGTATGTGTGTGTATATGTATTTTGTGAAAGCTAGAAAAAATGAGATATTGAATTGAAGTAGCTTCATGCTACAAATCACCCGACATGTACAAAACTAGCATTAATGTTAAAGAGAACCATCTATGTGAAATAAGGTTCCAAAAGCAGGCATAAAACTGCCAAGCTGCTTGATAAAGCATAAATTCATAGTTTGGCTATGTTTCAGTCAGGAACATATGGACCCTATGATGGTCCAGAATCTTTGGAGTGAGACCAATGATCACCTGTTCTTTTTGAAGTAATTGGCACAGACATCACATGGGATTAGGCTAGGCCGAATTTCCAACCATACTACAACTCAAATCTTCCAACTTCAGCAAATTAATGGATTCACTGTCATCTGAATACATCTTGTGATTTCTGTCTCCCCAACTCTGCTCTCACAGTAGTCCCTGCCTAGAATTTCTTTCCTGTTCCTTTATTCCTAGGCAAAGACTGCTGAATCTTTAAAGTTCAACTCAATCATATCTATCCTGTGTTCACTGACCAATTCAACTGGCAGTAATCACTTCATCTTCCAAAATCTGATAGAATTTACTTTATGTACCCCTTACCAGATATTTATGATCCTCCTGCGTGGTATCACATTGTTATGTACATCATGCCTTCTCAACTTGACTACTGAAGATAAAAATTAGACACTATATTTCTTTATATATGTCTAACAGTGTCTTGCACACAGTCGATAATCAATAAAAATATTGTTACTTAAGAACTAGGAGGAATTGTCTTATTCCCATCTCTTTTATGTCAAGACGATTAAGAGAATTCAGTATGAGAAATAATCTTAGAAGTAGCAGACACATAACAGATATAGCTGAAATGTTAGACTAATTTTAATAAGAATCCCTAGGTTATCCAATCACAAGTCTGAGTGGTAGATAAGAGCTCACAGACCTTATTGTCTTATGCTAATTTGTCATTCTTTTCTGTTTTTATGATTTAAATAAATATCTTCTAAGTTGTTTCATAACATTCTAGTGCAGGGGCTCTTAACCTGGGGTCTGTGGATAGATTTCAGGGGGTCTGTGAACCTGGATGAGAAAAAAAATATATATCTATTTTGATATAATTTGTTTCCTTTGTTATGTTCTCTATTTTATTTTATGTATTTAAAAACAATATTATGAGAAAAGATCTTAGGCTTTACCAGACTAGCAAAGGGGTTCATAATACAAAAAAGGTTAAAAACCCTGGTTCTAGTGTTACAATCTCTTAGCAATCTCTTTTAAATGATTTACCAGAGATTAGTAGAAATGTTTATTAAGTTATGCATTATGCCTATTAAATTTGTTAATAGTTGCCCCATTATGCCACTTTAGACTCAAGGTACATTAATGTTCATTTGAAAAGTTTTTATAGCTCATCCTAAATATTTTAAGATATTAAAATATTTAAAATAGGTGTCAGCAAGATACCTAGAGCATACTGGTCTGACAAATGTATATATCATGCCCCAGAGGTCAACAATGGCTATATACATCAAAAGGGGAAATTTCAGAGACAAAGACTTGCAGCAAAAACATTCTGCCTCTGGTTCCTGAAGTTAGGGTTCTGAAAGTGTGAGAACTTACGGTTGCTATGAAAATTATTCATAGGAAATAAGTTATATAATTCAAGTAACACAGAGAATTTTAACTACATGTCACAAACCTAGATTTTTAATATCATGACTTTTTAAAAGTTCATGTGGGTCCATTTTGTTCTTTTTTAAGTAAGCCACAACTTATAAAATTGTGATAAGCTAAATATGATTGATATGGTTAAAAAAACAATTAATGGGTACATTGGAAAAAAATGGCTATCTTACATATTTACCTGCTTGCTTCTAATGAAGATGTCTCCTTAGAATTTTGGGAATTTAATATTTTTTCAATTTTCTCAACTGAGCGAATAACTTGAATAAGTCTCAACACACACATCTGTAAAGAATAAAGCAAAAAAGTAAGAAAGAAATCTTTTCATGACGTTTTATCTTTACTACCTTATTTCCTGAGTCTAAATTCAGGACAAGACTTAAAGGTAATGTTTGTTCAGTCAAAACCTTTAAGTTATGAACGGTTTTCTATGTCTTAAAATTTGTCATTGAAAACACAAAGAAATATTAAGACTGACTTTCCAGAACAAATACATCGCCTTGCTTTATTACAGCATGATACAGGAGGCTTATTGTAACAAATGCTGACATTCCTTACTCCTCAAATTTTCTATCCTTGCTCCCTCCCCCACCCCCTTTTCGAACCATGAACTTTTTCCTCTGCCTTACTTTTTCTGAGCTCCCTCAATTTTAATTGTGCTTATTTTCTTGTTAGATCTTTCTCTTTATGCATATATGCACTAAGTATATACCAAGAATCCTGAACATAACAACCACATTTACATGTATATGTGGGAGTAAATAGACATAATTTTATAGATAGTTAAGCACTTTCAAAATAGCTGAAACAGGGTAAAGATAAGCAGAGAGGAGTATTTTGAAGGGATGGGTAAAAACAGCCACTTCTTTACAAAAGATAAGTTTTGTGTCATGGATAAGAGCTAATAGGAACATAATGATCAGAAATAAGTAAACAGATAAGTCTGTCAAGGAGATCTGTTTTCTCAGCCTTAGTAAAGTTTACAAATTTGTGTGTATGTGAGTGTGTGTTCCTCTTTTTTTCCAATGGTGAGGTGGTTGTTGGGGAGGGTCTAGACCTGTTATTTCACTGGTGTAAGGAACTTCCCATGAGAAAAAAAATCCTTTTACCACTGAAGTTTGGCAATCATTCTGCAGTTATTTATCCACTATGTCACACTTTTAAGACCTACAACATCTACAATTCCCAGGTGGCTTCAAATCCAGGTCCTAACCAGGCCTGAATCCTCCTAGTCTTCTATGATCAGATAAGATTATGTGCCTTCAGATGGTTTGGCTATAGACATTATACTGATAAACAAGTTTTTTCTGTGGAAGATTACTCTCAGTATGGTCTTTTGGAAAGATCACTAGATTAGGATAGCAGACTTGAGTTCTATTTCTAGCTCTGCACTTGTATAACTTTAGATGACTCACTTATGTCTTATCCCATTTCTTCATCCATAAAATTAAGAAGTTAGTATTGTCCTGACTCCATGGATATGTTATTTAACCTCTCTTTGTGTCAGTTTTCTTATCTGTAAAATGGGATATTATCTGCTGTACTTTACCTCACAGCTTGTTGAGCATTTTGTAAAACCCAAAGCCCTGTATAACTGTCAGCTATTATCATTATTAATACTAGAAAGAGTAGTAACCTGAGAAGAGGCCTGAGTTCTATTTTAGTCGCAGATTTGCATTAACTAGTTGCGTGAGATTAGGAAAACCATTTAACATCTATCTCTGAGACCGGACATTTTTATATGTAAAACTGATACCTGAACTAGATGATTCTAAAAATTCTCTAACTTTATGATCTGACCTACTTACATCAAAAAGTTAGTGGAAACATAAGATTAAACCTACGAAGTTTTTTTAAAAGCATGAAAAAAATAATATATGGGGGAAAGATCCTGAAAAAATAAGTGAGCATTAGTGACAAAGAAACCAGACTGCTATATTTAAAAAAAATTAAAGCCATGATGATAAGTTAATGAACAAAATAACATGCCAACAACCAATATATTTCCTTGCTATTTTTCCTTTGATTATACTCCACTACCGTTCTTTTTAAAAGAACTTTTTATATTGGTATTTTATATATTTGCCCATACCTTTTTTCTTCTTATATCCTCTTGCTTAGACATTCGCTCATCAACTGCCCGAATTCCCTCACTGACAGTGGACTTAAGGCTCTTAAAAAAAAGCAACATAAGTTAAAAACAAATTAACCCATGGCTATAACAAATAAGGTATAATATTAGCACTTTTTTTTTTTGCTTATTTGCTTATTCAGTTGCATAAGTATGTACTAAGAGTCTATCTGTCAATACTATACCAAGTGTTATAAGAACACGAGGTATAAGCTTCATGAAACTGAATATTTATATGATAGGCAAAAGTAGGCAATTTAAGTTATAGGCCAGGAATGTTATATGACGACAATGGTGTTTTAGGATTATTAGGACTATAGGGTGATAACTGGAATAGATCAGAGGAGGAAAGGAATTAGGAGATAATTCTGATAATCCTGGTGGGAGGTAATTAAGGTCTGAACTAGAGTGAACAAGATGAAAGAAAGAATCAAAAGGACTTCATTACTAGAAAGAAAGAAAACAAAAAGTTTGCTTATTCAACAAATGTTAATCACATAAAACTATAATAATATAGGACACTAGAGGAGAAAAAAACAAATAAGCGTATTCTAGTAGAGGAAAGTAGGATAGGTACAAAGAAAATAAAATACAAAATAAAATCTAAGTACATAAGAAAATAAAGTAGTATCAGATTAGATAAAGGAGAAATCATTTAACTTAATTTGAGTGAAGAATTAATAGAAGAGGCGATATTTAATTTGGGCTTAGAAAAAAGGATAGAATGCAAACAAATGAAGGTTTTGTGAACAGGGAATTTTAAGATTATGCAAAAACACAAACAAAAAGGGATAGGAAAAGCAAGGATGTATTCAGGGAATAGCGCATAGAGAATACATGAGAAATGGTATGACATAAAGTGAACAAGGTTAGTTGGATTAGGATTACAGATGGTTTTGTCAAATCATCAGAGAAAGCAACAATGCCTTTACCCTCCACCATCATGACAGGAAGGTTGGCAGGGACCAAGATCCTTGCCCCTGAACCCTTTCATTCCTTTTTCAAACACTGGCCCCAGGAGACTGAGACTCCAATAGGGAATACTCAAGAATTGGATTCAGAGGCCTCCTTACCTTGGAACATATAGACACATGTGAAGTCAATTCCTACTCTGCTTGTTTCACTCAACCTTCTGGGAAAAAAAACACCACTTTAGCCCTTAAGAAACACTCAGCGTCCACACCAAGATCAGGGCCTCAGATAGCATGCCTAACTAGGAGCCAAATTCATGTTCCATAAGAAAAGTATCTTTTGAGCGCATAATCTCTTGCCACTTTGGATATCATAAAAGAAATGGCCCTGGGGAATGGATCACCAAGTATTTATCAACCAAAACACATGACATGATCTCTCTGTTGGCTTCTTTCCTTGTGCTACAAGGAATTACATCTTCTGCAATCATAGGATCCTGGAGTGTGGGAGTATTCAAGTTAAATGGCAATTCTTTGGTTTATGAAAAGTAAAGTCAATTCCTCAGAACCCAATCACTGTGATTCAGTTAAAGATGTCAAGGTAAAAGCCCCTTTCTCCTGTTACCACTACTCATTCTCTGACTCTTACCCTACTCCTATCACCTCTCCCTACTTCCTATCCCACCTCCTATCCCTTTTTACTATGTCTCCTCTGAAACCTTTTCTATCCTTAAGAAACTTCCCTTCATCCTAAACCTCTGTATCTCACACTCTTTCCATTTCTTCACATTCGTGGAAATCTGGCTCCTTCCTGAATCCCTGGACCTCTTTAGTATCCAGCACTCCTTCTCTTATGCCACCTGGTATAACGGGCCAGGAAGAACAGGAAAATTCTTTGTTTCTCACCACCAAATCCAAACCTTCCCTCTCCGGCCATCACTTAATAACCTTTCCTCCTTTAAGGTCCACTTCATCAGCCATGTTCACATCCTTGTTGTAGTCATCTACTGGCCTCTAAATTACTCTCCTTCCTTCTGAAAGTTCAGTAATAGGCTCACAGTCTTCCTCTCCATTCCAACACCTACACTTGGAGACTTAAAAAAACATGATGATATCCCCCCAAACATCCCAGCCTCCAAGTTCATAAACCTGTTTGACTCAACTGTTTACTTAATTTCAACAGTCCACAGGGATAATTATACCTTAATTATCAAAACAGGTTCCTAATTCCTTTCCTCACTTGGTCTATTCCACATATCATTCCCACGGTCCTAATTGTCCAAAACTGTATTAATTCCATGATCCTGTATCACGAAATTTCCCTTTCTGATCATAACGTCTACTCTCTTCAAAATCTCTCCTTTCTCCTGCCTTCTTTCCAACTACCTATAAATATGTCCAAGTTTTCCTCATTCCTTCATTTGATCCTGACATGCCTCAAGTTAAAATGATATCTCTTTCACAACTAAACTCGTAGAAAACATTATTTAATTTGTCACCTCTATCCCTACTACTCTCTTCTCAATATCTTGAAATATGACATTTGACTCTATGATTCAGGTGAAAGATAAGGGCTTGGGAGGAGTCCATGCAGAGGTGATAGCTGAAGTCATGAGAGAATTGGCCAGTCCTCTAACCATGAGAGATTTCAAAAAGCACTTCATATTTTCCTATATTTTTCTATCTAAAAAGAAGGTAGATTTACTGGTTACTTTCACATCTTTATTTTTCATTAGAATAGGAAGGCCTAAAATGTTCTAACATATTAGCTGGTTCAAAGAGAATTAAGATTCTTTAAGACAACTATGCTGACTTCATCGTGCCCCAATATACTGAAAAATCCTAGAAGAGACCTGTAATCATGATGAAGAATGTCTATTTCCCAGATTTCAAACAGAGCTTGTCTAACAGAATGTGTATCTGAGACAGACAGTACAGATGAACAATGAACCGGTATCAGAGTTGTACAGGAGGAAGAAGGAGGGGGGAAGGGAACAAGTATGTATTAAGCTCCTGATATGTTCAAGGCACGGTGCTAAGTACTTTAAAAATATTATCTTACTATCATCCTCAGGTCCTGAAAGAACTGTCAGATATGACTACTGAGTTTATCAGTGTTAGGTGGAAAAAGAAGAAGGTACCACAAGAATGAAGAAAGGCAAATGTCCCAATTTTCAAAAAGTAAAGAGACCAGACTCTACAAACTATTAGCCAATGAGCTTGACTTTGATTCCTGGGGACTTTTTAAAAAATACATTATTAAAGATATGGTTGGTAAACACCTAGAAAAGGAAGTAGTAATTAAAAAGAATCAGAATGGATTCATCAAGAACAGGTCATACCAGACTAACTTTATTCCCTTTTATGACAGGATTCTTAAGTAAATGAAGTGGATGCTGTGGATATCATTTAATTAGATTTTAGCTAAGCCCTTGATAAATTATCTCACACTATTCTTACGGAAAATATGAAGAGATATGAATATGACAAATTTTAGGAAGGATGACACAGTGATGACAAAGTCAGGATTCAAAAAGATCTTGACAGGCTAGAGCGCTAAATTTCATAAAATGAAATTTAACAGGGACAAATGTAAAGTCTTGTACTTAGGGACAAAAAAATTAACTTCACAAGTATAGGATAGGAGAGGCATAGATAGACAGGTAGAAGAGTATATCCAGGAAGGCAGGTCAAAAAGAATAAGGACTAAAAAAGGGCCATCAGATGTGTTACCAAATCAACAAGCATTTATTAAGTGCCTGCTATGAACCAGGCACAGTGAAAAGAGCTGGGGATACAAAGAAAGGCTATCACTACCCTCAACCCTCCTTCCCCCCAAAAAATGAGTCCTTGCCCTCCAGGAGCTCACAGTCTAATAGTAGAAACAATAAGCAAATAATCATGTAGAAACAAATTATCTACAGGATAAATTGAAGATAATCAACACAGGGAGGGCATTAGGACTAAAGGGGATTGGGAAAGGTCTTTAGCTGAAGGTTAGATTTTAGCTGGCACTTGCATGAAGCCAAGGACACCAGGGACACAGAATTCTAGGCATGAGAGAAAGCCAGGGAAAATGCCTAGAATCAGGCGATAAAATGTTTTGTTTAAAGAACAGCAAGGAGGCCTGTGTCACTGGATCACATAATACATAGGGGGGGAGGGAAAGGTGATGTAAAGTGTAAGAAAACTAGAAAGGTAGGAAAGGGACAAGCTTTAAAAGTAAAACAGAGGATTTTATATTTGATCCTGGAAGTGACAGATAACTACTGGAATTTATTGGGAATGGGAGCTAGAGTGCACTTTAGGAAGATCCTTTTGGCAAATGAGTGGAGTATTGGACTGAAGTGGGGTGAGACTTCCAGCAGGGAGACCAACTATCAGGCTATTGTAGTAATCCAGGTATCAGGTGATAATAGCTTACATCAGGATAGTGACAGTGTTAGAAGAAAGAAAGGGGCATATGTGACAGCCATTAAGAAGGTAAAATCAACAGGCCTTGGCAAGAGATTTTATGTGGGTGGTGAAAGAGTGTGGGCAATTAAGAATAACACCTAGGTTACAAGTCTGGTAAGTAGGAAGATGGTGGTAACCTTGACAGAAACAGGAAAATTAGGAAGAGGAGAAGGCTTAGAGGGGGAAAGGTAATGAATTCAATTTCAATTTTGGACATGTTGAGTTTAAGAAGTTTATGAAACATCCAGTTCGAAATGCAAGATTGGAGGTCTGGAGTCAGGTTAGGGTGGGATATAAGAAGATCTGAGAATCAGATCAGATGTTAATTGAATCTGGGGAAAATGATGAGATCACCAAGGAAAATAGCATGGAGGAAGAGGAAAATAGGACCCAGGGCAAAGCCTTTGGTGATGCCCACCATTAGGTGGCATCACCTGATGAAGATCTGGTAAAAGAGATGGAGAAGGAGCACTAAGACAGGCTGAAGAAGAACAAGGAGAGACCAGTATCATGAAAACCTAAAGAGAAGAAAATATCAAGGAGAATATGTGGCAATTAAGAGATAACTGGTAACCCGGAAGAAAACAATCTCAACTGAATGATGAGACTGGAAGTCAAATTAAAAAGGGCTGAAAAATATATGAGGCGAAGAAGAGACAAAAAGTGTAGACAATTTTTCCCTAGCAGTTTGGCTGTGAAAAGGAAGACAGATAAAGAGTAACAGTTTGGGAGGTTGGTAGGATGTGTGAGGGTCTTTTTTATATGGAACGGGGAAGACTTGCTCATGAAACTATAGTTTGTAGTCAAGATAAAAATGGCACACACTTTAATTATATCTGAAAATATTTAAGAACCTAGCTGCACAAACCAAAAATCTAGCCTAAAAAAACAAAAGGTTTTGACACATTTGATATTAACACAAACCAATTTAACAGCAATACATAAGCAAGAAAAAATGAAAATGATAAATTCAAGAATTTTTGGAAATAAATCCACAGAACCTTCTTTCAGGGTTGGTTTTATTCTAATAATGACATATTTTTATACTGCCATGAGTTTTAGGATCCTCAGGGGTCCTCAACATGCCACTACCCTTTGATATTAGGATGCTTTGGCAGATTCTCAGAAAGAGGGAAGAGTTTTGGGTATCAACATGTCCAATCCTTCTATCAGTAACTTCAACAATCACAAGACTTTTAGAAAATCAAAATTCACTACTCAGGGAAAAGCTGAAGCCTACTAATCTAAAGTAAATCTGATTATAACATGTCCTTGTATCTACTTAAGGACCTAATGATTTTAAAAAGTAAATTCCCAGTTCAAACAACCTATAACATAAAGGGCTCTATAAGATCAAATCAATCCCCAAAATACCCCCCTGACAAATCTAAGAAGGATAAAAAGCACAATAAGCAGAGTGTTCTGGCCCTTACTGATTCAGCAGCATACCTTAATGCTCAGTGGCCTATATGACATAAATTAGTAATAAAATATATGGACAATTATTTATATATACTCCACCTGTGAAGCAGATAACAGGAGTTTTTTAGGTTCCTTCACTTCCATTCACAAAATCTATTGCTTTCATCTTTCTCATCAAATCAAAATTTTTAAAAATTGTGAAATCACTTCACATGTAAAACAATACATCATTTCATTTCTGGTTGGAGCTATAGTAATTTACCCAATTATTTTCCCTACAAATAATAAACATTCTATGTTTTAATATGTAGGACATGACTCATTGTTTTGTACCCACCATAACCTCTTCTCGTAACTGTCCCAAAGGCACAGAAAGCTGGTTGAGGGCTTTGTCCATGCCAACCTAAAAAGGAAATTTTGTTAACAAACACACATTATAATTATCAGGAGTGATAGTTACGATAAATATCAACAGAAAATAATACTAGATTCATATTCACTTATGATAACATCTATATTCAATCCTCAATTCATCCTTTTCTATATCATATAAGTCTACTATTATATAATGCTGCAACAAGCAATCAAACTAACAAAAATATAATTTTCCAACTACTGTTACTGAATATGTCTTCCATCATAAAATTATATGGGAATATAATAAAAATTGTTTTGTATGAAGCTTCAAAATCAGAGAGATAAAAAGAGAGACAGAGAGAGACAGAGCACCCAAGGGAGAAAGGGAGAGAGGTGAAAACAGATGAAAACTGAGTGGGAGGGAAAAAGGGAACGGGAGAGGGAAAGACAAGAATGAAAGGAAATAAAACTAATTTGAAAAGCAATTTGAAAGAAATGTGCTTCTATTATTTACTTATGATAATCAATAACCAAAACAAATTTTTATTACATTCCTTGGACATTATAATATTCAAGAAAACTCTAAGCAACCTGGAGTAACTTATTAACATTTACTAAGTGCTTATTATACACCAAAGCCTGTGTAAGCTCTGGGGAGACAAAAAGAAAAAAGCACTTCAAGGTGTTTAGAAATAGAATACAGTAGAAAAATCACTTGAAGAGTTCAGTGCAACCTATTGGTACTTTAAGTTGTAAATTTCCAAAAGCAAAGAGAGTAATCATTCATTTGAACTATGGCTAGAATTCCAAAAGAGCTAAGCTGGTTCTGTATTATCAATAAAGAAAGAGTCTATAAAGCAAATTAAAATTCTAAAAAGGAAGAATTATTCAAATATTATATCCTCATGCATTTGAACCTTTCCATTTATATGCTATAGCTTCCTGAGGCTAATTATATAAATTAGTTAGCACAAGTCTCCTAAGGATATTTAATGGTAAATATTCCCTTAGCCTAGTTCCAATTTAGCATTTATACTTGCAAATAAATTAAACCATGGCAAATTTCTTTTAAAATAACCTATATTTTCACTTTTTACTATTTCAGACTGGTCTTCCAATTTGACTAAGTCACTGAAGTTTTTACTTCAATAAATGGAAAATTTCCCCCAAATAGTCATGATCATTACATTATTGCCATTTAATAAAGTGCTAACTTCTATTTTGACCTAACTGAAAAAGATAGACCAATAAAGGAACCCACTTAAAGAAAAATAGGTTTTCAAATGCTTAAGTTAAAAAAAAAAAGAAAGAAAAGAAAGAAAAATATTTAACAAGTTAACTTCTCTGTTAACTAGATGCTTCAACCTTCTAAAATCAATCAAGGATAAAAGTTAGAATGGAAAATTTCAAATGTAAAATCACTCAGATAAAACATTAACAATTATATAGATATCCAGCTTGAATGCTTACTAAATTTGTAGAAAGGTTGACAAAGTCTGCATAATCCTTATTAATGAGTTCTACCATGGCTGTTTTAAGAAGTTTGTAATACAGTTCTAGATCATCTCTAAGTTCTTCCAACTGGACCCGTTTCCTACAGTCAGACACAAAATGATCAACATCAAAGTCATCCTGAAAAACAAACAAAAAAAAAAACAAGATACAATATTTACAATAATTTCCAACATTCAAAAAAGAAAATATTAAGATAAATAACAAAAGAAAATCCTACTTCTGTGGCAAGTTATATAGCTCTAGGGAAAAATCAAGTAACAGGACTATCAGCAATATAAATGACAGAGATTCACTTTCTGCAGAATTCAAAATGAGGCTGCATTAAACAAGAGCACCCTCTATTGTTGTTTAAATTCTGCAACTGCCTTTATTAATCAAACAAATGTGCCCTAACGTGGGAAAGAATTACACTGTGCTCTCTGAGACAAACTTGAAAGACATCTTATTTTCACTCATCCATAGGGAGTCCTATAGTCAAACAGCAACAATGCTTCATAATTAGGTAGAAAGAACAATGACCTAAGGAATCAGAAAGAATAGTTTCTACTCTCAGCTCTACCATTAGTTAATTAGTTACCTTTGGTGACTCAGTTTCCCTATCAGTAAGATAAGGAGACAAGGCAAAATCATCACAGTTCTAGGATTTCAATATAAATTTCAAACAATACCAGAAATAATGAAACACTAATGGTTAATATCTGGTGAACACAATTTCCAAGTATTTAATTGATTTTTAGTTAATACTACATGGCTCATAACTGGCATGTTCAAAACCTAAGACATTATTTAGAACATTCACCTGGGATCACTTTACAAAACAGAAACAATAAAAACAAGAGGAAATAAATTGTTCACAGCTATAACAAAAATTCTAAGTTAGGTGAATAAACTTCTTAGAAGCAGTTTTTAAAGTAATTTTTGGGGGTAGGGTGTAAAAAACTCAAAAGAGCTTGATCCATATAGGAGTTCCATCTGTATAGGGGGAACCAAATAGATTATTATAAAGATTTTGGACAAAGAACACAAATAAACAACAATTTGGGCCTAGAATTAAATAGGAGGAGGAAAGTGGGCTAGATTGCCTTTGGAAAATTACAAAACTTGTACATTGAACATCAATATGGCAAATTCACAATATCAAGGGCCATCACATTGCTGAAGGAGAAGTGAACTGGCCCATTTTGGAAACAGAGCAGCTCAAAGCTCCTCTGCAAATCAGAAATGGAATTTAGGCCCCTCCACTTTAAGCCTAGGCAAAATGGGGAGACTCAACTATAATAATATTAGTAATAATAACAATGATGATGATTATAATAATAATCCACTATCCCTACTTTCTAGGCCTTTATATAAATACTCTATCCTTACATATATAGCTAACATATGTATATGTAGACATAGTAAATGTATAAATATACAGCACAGATATATGTTATGTTGTTGTTGTTTAGTCATTTCAGTTGTGTCTGGGGTTTTCTTGGCAAAGATACTGTAGTTTGCCATTTCCTTCTCCAGCTCATTTTTTTTTAAACAGATGAGGAAACTGAGGCCAAAAGGGTTAAATGACTTGCCCAGGGCCACACAGCTAGTATGCCTGAGGCCAGATTTGAACTCAGGGAAGAGTAGTCCAGCACTCTATCCACTGGTACCACCTAACTGCTTGATATATGTTATATACTCATATATAAAGATAATCAAAGACTATGAAATGCATAAAATTAATGACAGATAAATACTATAAGTTCAGACAGGTCAGGTAAGTTCAGAAGAGGACTAGGAAAGTTAGGAAAGCTTTCATAATGAAGACAAAACCTGAGTTAGGCCTGAAAGGATAGACAGGATTTGGAAGAGTTTGGAGATGAGAGAAAGGGGAAGATCTTTCAGCTGGAATTGGAGCAAAACATTATGGTCAGAACTTGGCACACTAGGTTAAAATCTAACGGAACTTTGACCTCCCTTACAATTTTCATGTAAAACATTTTTTATCTCCTAAAAATCAATCAACCAACAAGAATTTATTATGGATGTCCACTACTGATAAAGTTAAAAACTTCACATACTATGTATGAAAATTATTTGCCACATACTTTAATTTTCTCAGGTACTTTCACAAATACTTCAAAACTATTAAGTTGGTAATAAAATTCCCCAAAGGAAAATTGAGGCATAGAGTCATCCTTTGTATCCAAAAAATGCCTTCCTAAAGGTTATGAGGAATTTAAATAGAGGACTAGTAGGCTTCTAAGTCAAAGATCTAAGCCCTTTCAAAGGACTTACAGAAGATGCTTCTCAAAGCCTGGAAGCCATAGGTTAAAATGAGTTACATAGAGACAAGCAATAATTAACAATAATTCATAACTGGTACCTTTATTGCTCTCTCGCTCCTTCTTCTGTCTGTTCCCTTTCAGGTCCCAAGACATCATCACTCCTGTGTTTTTCATCATTTTTATCAATAACTTGGAAGTATAGATTCTCTTTTTTGGTGATCTCATAAACTTAAAGAAGTTCAATTGATCATCTCTAGGCAGACGATTTATACACACATATGTGTGTGGATATATGTACTTATATGTACATATAGATAAATGTGTATCTATGTATGCATGTAGGTAGGTATTATGTTCACTTAGCCTTAATCTCGCCCCTGAGTTCCAGTCACACATCTCCATTAAGATGCCCAGAAGTGCCTCAAGCTCAAAGGAATTTGTCTTCTTTAAAATATTCCTTCCCTCTAAATTTCCTATTTCCGTTCATATTATCCTTATGCTCCCAATTACCCAGACTCAAAACCTTACAGCACCTTTGATTCTTCCATCTCCTTCACTCCTATCATTCAAGCAGCCTCCAATTCTGCTAATTCTATGTCCACAGTATTACTCTCCACATAAAATGTCACTACTCAACTTTAAGCCCTCAATCACCTCTCACTATTCTCTCAGAGTCCTTCTCTGACCGCACTGCCTCTGGTCTCTCCCCCTCTTTGATCCATATTTCATACAGATGCTAAAATAATATTTTTAAGACACAGAGACTTCCTGCTCAAAAATCTGCACTGGTTCCCTATAAGATAAAATATAAATTCCTTTGGCTAGCATTTAACGTGCTCAACAATCTGGCTCTAAGCTTCCTTTACAAAATTATTACATACTACTTCCATTCTTGTACTCTACCTTCTGGCCAAATTGGACTGCTAGCTGTTCCCTGATCTCAAGCTGTCTCCCATACCTGGAACTAATCTGTACTTAATCTCCTTGTTCTTATTTACTCTACCTGTGGAAATCATTTTCCTTTAAAGATTTGCTCTAGTGCCACCCCTTGTATAAAGATTTTCCAGGTTCCCCCAGCTAAAAATGATCTATCCCTCATATTTTCCTAGAAGATTTTGTCCAGATCTTACCCTTATCTTGTCACAGTCTACCAGGTGACTAAAGTCTTTTGTATGTATTCTATGCTTCTCATTAGATTACAAGTTTCTTGATAGCAGGTCGTGTCATTTTAATTTTGCTATCCTCAAGAGTTTAGCACAGTGTAGGACATATAGTAGGTTATCTACTAACTTTTGGCTGAATTGAATTTGAAGAGTTTTTAAAACAGCATATTCAGACACGTATTTTTAAAATCGCTTTTAAGTAATTTAGTTGGTTCACTAGAAAAAGCACTGACGAGTAACATAAAAAGCACTGACATTAAATAGAAGCTACTATCCCAAAAATCTAGGAGTTGGAATTCCAAATATCCTGAAAGAAGAGTCCTCTCTACAACACACCTGACAAAGTATCATTCAACCTTTGCCATTAACAAGCATTTATTAACCAACTTCTATGTGCCAAAAAAGACAGTCCCTGCCCACAAGAAGCTCACAGTCTAGTAGGGGGTGACAACACACAAACAACTATATACAAACAAGATTTACACAGGATAAACTGGGAGTAGTCCCAGAGGGAGGGAGGGCAAGCACTAAGATTAAGGAACACTGGAAAAGGCTTCTTGCAGAAGGCAAAACTTTAACTAAGACTTGTAGGAAAATATAGGCACAATAGAAGAAACAAGTCTTACTCCCAAGGAGTTTATATTGTAGTGGGGAATTTAGCAAGCAAATATAAGCATAGACAGAATAAACATAAAGAGATTAAATATTAAAAAATACAAAATATTTAAATACAAGGTGGTTTGAGACAGAAAGCACTAGCAGTTGGGGACATAGGATAAAGCCTCACACAGAAGGTATTACTTCATTTGTGTCTTGAAAGGAAGAGAGAGGATTCTATGAGGTAGAAATGAGGAACAAGGGCATGCCATGAGGGAGACAGGGAGAAGTCTAACTCTTAGGAATTTCTTCTTTATATCAAGCATAAAATTACCTCTTCAACTAACATTGCTCCTGGTCCTGCTGCCTATGGCCACGCAGAAGACACCTCTTCTATGTGGTCTTCAAACAGTTGAAGACAATAGTTTCACTTAGGGGAAATGTCTTCTCTCTTCAATTTAAATATTTCAAATGCCTTCAACTGCTTCCCTTGTGATAGCAACTGAAACCCTATAATATCATGGTTGTCCTCAATTCACAATATAACAAGCATCATATGGATACTCTCCAATTTATCAATGTCCTTCCTAAAATAAGTCTTACAGAACAGAACACAATACTCCAAATATAGTGTGACTAGGTCAGAGGACAGTGGAAGTATCATTTCTCTAGTCCTAAATGTCATTTTTTTATTTTGTACAGTCAAACACTGCTTTAGCTTTTTTTCAAGACAGGACTATTGATACAACTATGCCACCTCCAAAAAGACAACTATTACTTAATATAGTAAAATGGTATTATAAAAGCCAGATTAGAAGTGGCAGCACGGTATAGTGTAATGAGCACTGGATTTAGAGGCAGAGACCTTGGGTACGTCATTCAATTTCTCATCTATAAAATGAAGGGAATTGGGAAGTTGAGAAATATGCTAGATTCACTCTCAGGACTAAACTCCATGTTCTCGTAATTAGTTCCTTCCCTTAACTGCTGTAGAACTTTATTTTTAATCGTCAAACAATGAATATGCATGTTTCTATTCACCTTGAGAATATGAGATACACTGATTTTAATTTTCGGGACGAAAACAAAA